CAGACTCATGTGTTCATCTCAGTCAATCTAAGTGCTGTCCTCTATCGGATCCTTCCTGTGAGCTATTACTTTGAGGCTGCTTTCCTAGGTAACCTATGCTACTTCTCTTTACAGAAGAGGTCAAAAGTACTTTACAAAGAGTTTCAATGCAGCTGTGCCTTAAGATTTGTTGTGTATTACCAGGAATTGTTTTCTACATTGAACTCTACTTAAATATGTCTAAAATAAGCTGCCTGGTGTGAAACTCTCCAAGTTTGAACCAACACCAGTCACTGAGCTGTCTGAGACCAGACTTCCTTCTTGACTCATTAGATCAATTCCCTGCTGGCTGTGGTGTTTGTGGATACTCACATACACACACAAATGACTAAAAATAATAAAAATGCATCCTGGGGGAAAAAAAGCATTAGTTAAAGAAGCTGGAAATTCTGCCTCTAGGTTCTACCAAACACCCCTTTTCTACCACTGCCAAACTCTCTACATTATCCCTGCAGCCTGCAGGTACTACATTTCTTGCCCGAAGAGATACAGCTGAGGAAGAGTTGTAGAAAATGTCTGGAGCAGTGGAAAGAAAAGAAGGTAGACTCCGGGGTGCTCCTGACAATCAAGGCCTGGAGCCAGAGGGTACACTGAAGGCAGCTGAGGATATATTTCCTGGAAGGGGGAGGTAACATCACTTACCCGGAGAGACCAGGAGCCTACGGGTTTCCAGCATCACCTCCTGGTACAGGGTCCTCTGAACTGGAGCCAGCCGACCCCTCTCTCTCTCTCTTCAGAAAGGGGCAGGCCTCCCATGGACTTGAACAAAGCATGGCAAGTCAAGTTAAGGCAGGACCGAGCTCCTCTTCCTGCATCAAGGCTAGGCAAGGTAATTCAGAACAGGGAACAGGTTTCCAAAAGCCAGCTAATCACTAGGGACAGGTCCTGATCTCATTGCTAGGAGTCTAACAAAGAGACCAAGCTATACAACTGTTACACACATGCAGAGGGCCTAGGTCAGTGTCATGCAGGCTCCCTAATGTTTGGTTCAGAGTCCATGTGCTCCCACGAGCTCAGGTCAGCTGTCTCTGTGGGTTCCTCTGTCATGATCTTGGCCCTTCCCCTGCTCACACAATCCCTCCTTCCTTTCTTCAGGACTCCTGGAGATCTGCCCAGTGCTTGGCTGTGGATCTCTGCATCTGCTTCCATCAGTTTCTATTAACTTTTACAGCCTCTGGTCACCTATGCATCAGTCAGAGACTTGAGGGTAAAGGATGTGCACAGATTCAAGTAGGGTGTCATGTCTTTGTTTTTGTTACAAGGTCACGAGTAGTCCAAGCTGTTCTCAAATTTTCTATGTAGCCACAGCTGACTCTGAACTCCTGATCTTCCTGCTCCCACATCTCCAGTTCTGGGATTTATAGGAAAAACTGAATGAGTTCTATTAGGGCAAATGAGACAATTCAGAGAGTAAAAGTACTTCTCCCCAAACCAGACCACCTGAGTTCAATCTCCAGTGTAGGGGCATCTTCCTAGCTGGCATATTTGTGTTAATGACCACACCCTCTTGTGTGTGGCCTCAGGTGATGGAAAGAGGGAAGCATGAGGAGGGGCTAGCTCTCTTTTGGGCCACCTACTGGATCTGAAGGGCTGAGAAACAATGTGGCGGTTCTGTATTATTATCTGTGAAAGTTGTTCCCCAATAAAACACCCATTTACCTTGAGTCTAGAGAATTCTTTATCACCCACCTTCACTCCAGAACCCATCATCTCTAAAAGCTGTCCTTTGACCTCCACACTCCAGCCATGGCTTCCCCATCATTCGTTGCACAGCTCGAACAAATTACACAGATTTTATAATTTTTGAAGAGTGCCATATGATCAGTAATGGTGAGGAGAATACTCTTGCAGGGATCTGAGGACTGTCTGAGGCAGAGTGAACTGCAAGAGTAAAGGCTGGCGACGTCAATGGAACTTTTGGTCCAGTGGGTAAAGCTGCACAGCAGTGAGCCAGAGAGAAAAGGAAACAGGATCATAAGTGTCAGGAAGAACAGAGATTTACGGACCATGTCCTATTGGGTTATGAGTTGATGGAGACTTACAGACCATGTCCTATTGGGTTATGAGTTGACAGAGACTTACAGACCATGCCCTACTGGATTATGAGTTGATGGAGACTTACAGACCATGTCCTATTGGATTATGAGTTAATGGAGACTTACAGACCATGTCCTATTGGGTTATGAGTTGACAGAGACTTACAGACCTTGTGCTATTGGATTATGAGTTGACAGAGACTTACAGACCTTGTCCTATTGGATTATGAGTTGACAGAGATTTACAGACCTTGTCCTATTGGATTATGAGTTAATGGAGACTTACAGACCATGTCCTATTGGGTTATGAGTTGACAGAGACTTACAGACCTTGTGCTATTGGATTATGAGTTGACAGAGACTTACAGACCTTGTCCTATTGGATTATGAGTTGATGGAGATTTACAGATCATGTCCTATTGGGTTATGAGTTGACAGAGACTTACAGACCATGCCCTACTGGATTATGAGTTGATGGAGACTTACAGACCTTGTCCTATTGGATTATGAGTTGATGGAGACTTACAGACCTTGTCCTATTGGATTATGAGTTGACAGAGACTTACAGACCATGCCCTACTGGATTATGAGTTCATGGAGTCCTTACACTGGGCTTCACTCACCTTCCATTCTCTTAAACAACTGTTGGAGGCCTGACATCCTTCCTTCCTTCCTTTATTCCTTTTTTTTCCCCTTTCTTTATTCTAGTCAGGGGTTCTCTGTGTAACAGTCCTGGCTATCCTTTGTACACCAGGCTGGTCTGGAATGCACTGCCTCTGCCTCCGGATTGTTCACCTTTCAGTCCTTTAAATAACTACTGGAGGCCTGACATTCTTCGCTTGAGGTAGCTAAGTAGCAGAGGGGCATTCTGGAAACTGAGGGCCATGTGTGACCTTTATTAGAGTCAGACGCAACAACAACAAGTAGGAACTAGTTATTAAACCAAATCCTAGACGCCTGTTGCCTATAGTCACAGAAGTTATGGTTAAGCCTCTAGATTATCACGAGAAAATAGTCATCTGGCTCACTGTAGTTATGACTTACAGACTGACTTCCAAGGTGTTTTGTTACAGAAAAAGTGGCAGGTTGCTACAGACTATGGTTCAAAGTCCTACGTCTTTAGATATGGTCTATACTGTCCATGTGTATAAATGACCCTCTCAGTTACTAAGTGAATTTAAGATAAATAAAAGAAATAAAAGGAAAGGCCATGGCCGCTTCTAGGTATGTTGGCCTAGAAAGTTCATTGTAGATATGGGGCGGGGATAGTCAGAGACAGGGACACCTGGAAGAGTCCAGAGTAGACACGACCCTGAGCCAAGTCGGGGTCTAGGGTGGAGACCAGGTGCAGCATTCAGGAGCCCAATAGAGGAGGGGTAACCAAATGGTTGGATCACACAGGGAAGGCTAGCGGGGGATGGGCAGCCCAGCCCCTGAGCTGGAATTTACAGTAGAGGGTGGGCTAAGCCACCCAAGACGACCCTGGAACAGGTAGACACTGAGGGCTGCTGGGAGACCCTGGCCACCAGGTGCACTTAGATATGTCAAGCAGGCACCTCAGCCGTTTGTCCCGGGTGTGACACCTAAGACCGGAGAGAAACTGGGTGACCATGCAGAGCCACTTTTCCTGAACAGACACAACTCCAAAGACAAGCCAAGAGGCTCTCTTGACTGACAGGCTTTCCAAACCTAGGGGTCATCAAAAAAGCTCTGCCAACACACCTGCCCGAAGTTCATCAGCACCGAAGCCATCCGGAGACACCGTGGGTGTCTGTGCTCAGGACAAGGGACCCCCCGCAGTCCAGGATTTGTATCGCACTAGGACAGTAAGCCCCACCCCCTACTCCTCGACAGAATGGATGTGCCCAATCCTGGGTCCTGACCACGTCTGCTGTGCCTTCTGGGTAATGTAGTTCGTTCTCTGCTATCGCCCACCCCTAAAGAAGAGTGTTGTCTTTTCTTTAAACAGGCTACAGATCCAGCTTAGATATACCTATTGCTATTGCTTTTATTATTTGAAATAGTTTCCTTTGAAGTTTAGAGACAGCCTCCTCAATAAGTTGGTCCAGTGGGCTTCGAAGCAGGCAGGCTTTGAAAATTGTCCTGCCACAGCGTCCTGAATACTGAAGACTGTAGGCACAGGTCACCCACCAGAGGAGGCTTCACACACACCCATGACAGTGCACCCGGCTCGGGAGGATTCAGGACTGGGTGAGACTATCATCCTTTCAACATACAGTGTAGACTACAGGAGGTGAGGGCAGGTCTAGAAACTTCGCCAAAAATCTGGGCATGTGAAAAGTGAGAAACTGGTCACTCTACAGGACCCCAAACACCAACGCACATATCGTTTCTCCCTATCCACCCCTCCCTTCATCTATGTACTTAGTTTTTATGTGTGTGGTGAGGGCGTTCCTCCCTGCACGAATGGAAGCACGGGACTGCATCTGAGCCCTGGCACCAAGGTACAAGGTGGACAGACACAACGATGTGTACCTGTCATCTTAGTGCTGGGAGCTGGAGATAGGATCAGTGTTTCCTTGATCAGTCTAGCCCCACCGGTGACTTTCATGTCCAAGTTGAGAGACCCACCGTCTCAAAAAATGAGATGGAAGCCAGGCGTGGTGGTGAATGCCTTTAATTCCCGCCAACTGGGAGGCAGAGGCAGGTGGATACCTGTAAACTGGAGGCCAGTCTAGTCTCTAAAGGGAGTTCAAAGACAGCCAACCAAGCTGTTAACACAGAGAAACGCTGTTTCAAAAAAACAAACCAAACAAAAAGGAAACAAACAGACAAAAAAAAAAAAAAAAAAAAAAAAAAGAGGGAGATACCCGATATGGACCCCTGGCCTTCACCCCTGCCACGCAAATTGAAATACTAACTCACACAAGCAAAAAGACTGAATCGATCAGTTTTAAGGTGCACTTAAAGGAGAAAACAGGTAAAAACACTTTTATTTAATTTGCATCTTAAAAGGCAGAAGAGATGAGAAGACAGAGCCCAGAGAGCTCCCTGAAGAAAGGAACAGAGGCAGACAGGGCTCAGGAAACCACCTGAGCAACAGGAGGCAGAACCCTACGTGAGTGTTCCCGCACCCAGGGGTGCTTCAGGGTCTCGGCCAAGTTCAGCCGCTCTGAGGGATTGTATCTAAGCAGCTTGGAGATCAAGTCCTGGGCTCCCAAGGGCACTGATTCCGGAAACTTCAAGTCCACCTAGTGAGGTCGGGGAAGGAGGAGGAGAATCGAGTTAATCTCTTTCGTTAATTTCTCCCTGATCTTTCTGTCAGTCTGACTCTTCAGGGCACCTTCTGGCTACCGCAGACCATAGCTAGTTATCGCTGACGAATGGCATGTATGTACGTGGGTGCCCGTCTCACCTTGAGGATACGTTTGTAAGTCTCGCTGTGGGTGCTGCTCTCAAAGGGTGGCTGGCCCACCAGCAGCTCATAGCAGAGCACCCCAACACACCACAGGTCCACCTTCTCATCGTACGTTCTCCCTTCAATTACTTCTGGGGACAAGTAGTCCAGAGTACCGCACATTGTCTTTCTCCTAGAGCAGGACACAGAAGGGAGTGCTGTGCATAGGGACTCAGAATGAGGGGAATCTTCCCTGTTCAGGTAGTGGGACATCCTGAAGAGCCCCCTCCCAAGAAGGGGGTTTCCGAAACACTAACTGTAGATATGAATTAAGAATCAGAGGGCTGTGGGAAGTGACTCAGGAGTAAAGCTCCCACGGCCTGAGTTCGAGCCCCAGGATCCACATAAAGCTGGGCGCACATCTATAGTCCCAGCCCTTCTACAGTGAGACGGGAGGCCGAGGAGAATCCCTGGAAACCCCTAGGCCAGTGGGCCAGCCGGCCGACTATGAGCATCAAACAAGAGACCCTGTCTCAAATAAGGTGAAGATTCACACCTGAGGTTGTCCTGACATGCCCCCTCCCACACAGACACAACAGGGCTTTCCTGGAATGCTTGCTGATTTGGCACCGAATCTTATTAGCAAAGGTAAATGCTAAGAAAGACCAGAAAAGCTCTGGTGGTGTCATCTTTCTGAGTACATACACGACACACACACACACACACACACACACACACACACACACACACACACACACACACACACACACACACACACACATTCAGAGGCCATTCGGTGTCTTTATTGCTCTCCACTCTATTCCGTTCAGGCAAGGTCTCTCACTAAATCTAAACTGGTCAGTTCTGCCAGGCTGACTGGCCAGCAAGCTTCCAGGATCTGCCTGTTTGCACCCCTTAATTCCATGCTTACAAAAGGAAGAGATCTTAACCACCTAGTCATCAGGACACCCAAGGCTTTCAATCTGCAAATGCATTTTAAATGTATGCAATTGGGAAAAACGGCATCCTCACACCTCATAGGTGTGAGATGAGTTCGTGTGAGATGAGTTCACCTAGGAGACCCCTCCCACCGGACCTACCTGAGAGAGGGCGTGTGCACAGACCAACCAAAGTCTGCTATCTTCACTTCACCCATGAGCCCCAGCAGGAGATTCTCTGGCTTGATGTCCCTGTGAATGACCTTCTTCTCATGACAGTAGGTCAGGGCAAGCGCCACCTCCTCTATTATCTGCAGGAACAAAAGCAATCTGGTGGGGGACAGTCTTTCTCCGACTCCCGGTGAGGCAGAATGGGCATTATGCATTTTAAGACTGCAATCTCATTTCCTGGTCTGTTGGGGGAAGTCCTGTGCATTTGTCAATAAAGTACTGTTGAGCCTATAGGGAACCAAGATAGGAGGGACTAGGAGTGCAGGAGAACTCTGGGAAGGAGAAACACAACAGAGTCGAGATGTAACGCCATTGGGGTAGAAAGCCGGGAAACCTCTCCGGTAAGAGAAATACTTAGATTAACAATTATGGGGTAATTACTTAAGTCAGAGCTAGCCAGTAAGAAACAAGCAAGGCCAACAACTTCATAATTAATATAGCCTCCTGTGTGTTTATTTGGGGACTACAAAGCGGCAGAGCCCAGGCGGCTGGCGGGGGATAAACCAAAGTGGCTAGCAATGGAAAGCTTCTTTTTACACTGGTCAGTGATTCCAACATTTCTGTGTTTATACACATGGATGATATGTGGAGCCCAGAGCACAGTCTTCACTGTGGCTCCTTATCTGTTTTGTTTTATCAAGAGAGTGTTTCTAGACAGCTTTGCAGCCTGTCCTGGAACTCCCTTTGTAGACCAGGCTGGCCTGGAACTCACAGAGATCCGCCTGCCTCTGCCTCCCAAATGCTGGGATTAAAGGCGTGCGCCACCACCGCCCAGACTGGCTTTCACTATGTGATCCTACTGTACTGGCCTGGAACTTGACATGAATCAGGCTCACCTTGAACTCCTGATCCTTCAGCCTCAGCCTGCCAGGAGCTGGAATTCTAGGCCTGCAAACCTCCACCCAGCTCACCTGCCAGTACTACCTGTATGGTTCCCGTTTCTGTATGACAGAGTCGGCTTGTTTATACGCTATTCTCATTATATTTATTTATTGTTTTTGTGTGGTTCTATGTGTGAGTGCATGCACAGCTTCCCATGACTACCTTCTGGATTTAGTCTCTCCTTCTACCATGTGGGTCCCAGGAGGCCTAACTGAGGTAGGTGCTCAGCCTAGGCAGCAAGCATCTCTTCCAGCTCATCCAGCTTTCCAGCTCAGTTAGAATCTGACGCTTGGTATAAAAGGACCCCAGGTATGGTGCAGTAGCAGCACTCTGGTGTCAGGGCATCTCCCAGTTTGAGTTTGAGGCCAGTCTGGACTGCATAGAACATTCCAGGTCAGGGCTACTGTCTTAGTTGGGGTTTCTATTGCTGCAATGACACAACACGACCAAAGAGCAAGATGGGCCAAAACAAAACCAAAAAAGCACAGCTTAAAAACCAGGCACTGGTGCCGCACATCTTTAATCCAAGCTATTGGGAGGCAGAGACAGGCAGATCTCTGTGAGTTTAATAAATGAAAAATAAAAAATAACACGCGAGTTGGGGAGAAAAGGGTTTATTAGACTTACACTTCAGCATTGTTGGTCATCACTGAAGGAAGTCAGGACAGGAACAAAACAGGGCAGGATCCTAGAGGCAGGAGCTGATGCACAGACCATGGAGGGAACCTTCTTACAGACGTGCTCAATCTACCTCCTTATAGAACCCAGGACCAGCAGCCCAGGGATTGCACCAACCGCCATGGGCGGGGCCTTTCTCTTTGATCACTAATTGAGAAGACACCCCACAGCTGGATCTCATGGAGGCATTTCCTCAGCTGAGGCCCCTTCCCCTGAAGACCCTAGCTTGTGCCAAGTTGACACTATGAGCTCTAGTATTCTAGAACTGCACTGGGGATCAAACCCAGGACCATACACATACTAGACACGAAACTGGACCATCCAGTTACATCTCAGCACCCCAGAAAAATAATTCTTCTTTTTTGTTTGTTTGTTTTTCGGTTTCTGAGCCAGGGTTTCTCTGTATTGTTTTGGAGGTTGTCCTGGAATTCACTCTGTATACCAGGCTGGCCTCGAACTCACAGAGATCCGCCTACCTCTGACTCCCGAGTGCTGGGATTAAAGGCGTGGGCCACTAACACCTGGCTTCAAAAAAATAATTCCTAATGCAAACAGTCCAAAACTGGGTGTGGTGGCACAAGCCTGTCATCCTAGCACTCAGGAAGCTGCAAGTTCAAGGCCAGCTTGGGCTGTACGAGCAGTTCTAAGTCATTCTCCTCACTATCTGGAATGACCCTGTGTGAGGAAAATCATAGCACCCTGAGCCAGGCATAATGGCATGTCTATAAGACTAGCACCTGTGAGGCTCACCCAGGAGAATCACACATTTCAGATCAGCGGGGAATTCTGGGAAGTCTGAGCTAGCCTGGGCTTTACAGAAAGAATTCCCAACGAAGGAAAGCCAACCAGGTAGCTCAGTGGGTAGGGAAGTCTGCTGTGCAAGCCTGGTGACCCCAGTTCCCTGTAATCCTTGTAAAGATGGAAAGAGAAAACAGACTCCTCCCCCCAAGCTGTCTCACGACTTCCACACGTACACTGCGGCGTGTGTGCCCTCCCCCACACCGCACACAAACACACACGAAAATAGAGGAAGAAAACTGGGAAGGGGGTACTGGCTAGACACAGACAGCAACTCCCATCCTCAGATGCCAACCCCTGGCCTCAGAGCACCCCCCTCACCGTGGCTGTGCGCTGCTCATTGAGTCTCTGCATCCTCTGGAGCTCCTTATACAGCTCGCCCCGCGGAGCGTATTCCAGAATCAAGTACACCCGGCGTTTGTCGTAGAAGTAGTTGTACAGGCGGAGGATGTTCGGGTGTCTGAAGGAGGAATGAAGAAGAGCTGGGACAGGCCAGATGGCCCAGCAAATGAAGGCACTTGTTGCCAAGCCTGCCAGCCTGAGTTCCGCCCCCAGGATCCACATGGTGGAAAGTCAGAACCAACCCCTGAAAATTGTTCTCCACATGTGCACTGTGACACACGTGGTCCACGTCCTTACCCCCCTCACACACACACAGATAACAAAAAAACTGACTACTTTTCGTGGGACAGGAGCAGAGCACACCTGTAATCCCAGCAGCCAGGAGGCAGAGTTCAAGTCATCGTAGTCCACAGAGCAAGTTCCAGGACAGCAAGCGCTATACAACCAAACCTCTCCCCAAAAACAAACAACCAAAACCCAACTACTTTTGAGACAGGGTCTCATTGTGTAACCTAGCTGTGCTGGAGCTCACTGTGTACACCAGGCTGGCCTCAAGCACAGTGATCTACCTGCTTCTGCCTCCCAGGTGCTGGGGATAAAGGGATGATTTCTTTTAAAGATGTCACCCGACCGAGGAGCAACGCTGGAGGCGGCTATCTGACCCACACAAGTGTGTCCAACACGGGGAGAGAATGTTACATGGTCTAACTGGAATCAGCTACGGAGAAAAACATCTTCAAAGTGAAAACCAAATGCAGATACTCCTGAAGCAGGCCAATTCAGAGGTCAGGCCAGCCAGAGGGAACCAGAAGCTTGAAATCCCCAGTCGATAGTCCCAGTCAGCCCAAGCTTACTGGAGGTGCGCCTGGATCTCCACTTCCCTTCGAAGCTGGTGCTCCAATCCCTCTTTCTCGATCTGGGACTTGAACAGGACCTTCAGGGCCACGATGAAATGGTTTTCCTTGAGCCGGGCCAGGTACACGTTCCCAAATTTCCCCTTGCCCAGAGGGCGCCCTATTTCAAAGTCATTGATGGTGAACCGCCTCCTGAAAAGGAGGAAGAGTTGGCCACATCTCAGAGACTAGGACAGTTAGGACCCTCAATTGCCCCTCCCCCATCCACTCAGCTCACAGCCCCGGTACTAGGTGTTCACCGGGGGAAAAAAAAAACTGCATCTTGGATTCATCAGCCGAGGCTCCATTTGCCCAGCGTGCTCCCCCCAGAGTCCCAACTCCTGTCTTCTGGATGCCGTGGCAAGGCGCTCACCTGGTTGAAGTGCTGGGCTCCATCCGGCCAGTAGCTAAACAAAGTGGGAGAAAAGATTGTCGTGGCGATGCTCAACTGCAATCCCAGTCCGTGGGAGGTGGAGGCGGGAGGATCACGAGTTCAAAGCCATCCCCCACTACATGGCAACTTTGAGGCCCGCTGAGAACCTGTCAGAGAAAGTGAAGGACTTGCAGGAGGAGGAGCCGCGGGGGGAAGGCTGACCCTGAGGGCAGACCCCAGTCCTTTCTGCTCCTCCTCTCGTTAGTGTCCTGCTTCTGCTTAAGACAGGGTTCCATGGTAGACGAAACTGGCCTCTAAGTGCGTCCATCCTCCTGCCTCGGCCTCCGCCGTGTGGGGATGATACCCACCGGCCTCCACCACCCTGGGTTTCTGTCCCGGCTCCCATCCCGCTTACTTGTGGGCGAAGCTGCGCCCGAGGGCGGCCACCGCTTTCCCTGACCTCTGGAGAAGTGGCAGCCACCTGGAGTCCCGCGGGTTGCTGGAGAGGGGTGGGCGGGTAACTCTCCTGCAGCCGTGTCCTCCACGCACCAGCCCGCTCCAGGACACTGGCCACCCAGCCACAAGCAAACCAATGGAACAGGGGCACCTTTTGGAGAACGCACCTGGTTCGGGACTAACTGAGTCCACGGCTGATTCCCATTGGCTGATCCTTATGACGTCAAAGACGTGCACGGGAGAAGCAAGTTTCCGCCACGAGGGCGCTCGGCCAATAGGATGGTGGGGGCGGGACCAGACGGCCTCTGGAAGCCTAAAGGGTCTGGGATGTTGGGAAGCAAGGCTTGCAGAAGTCAGCATGCAGATAGGGACGTGTCAATGCCCGTGGAAATGAATGTCGATCGACTTGAAGGACCTTGCTGTAAGCACTATTGAGTATGTGCATCTTCAGGTAAGAACTGTAAAACTTATGGTATTTTGTTGTTGTTGTTTTTCGAGATAGGGTTTCTCTGTATTGTTTTGGAGGCTGTCCTGGAACTAGCTCTGTAGACCATGCTGGCCTTGAACTCACAGAGATCGGCCTGCCTCTGCCTCCCGATTGCTGGGATTAAAGGCATGCGCCACCAATAACCTGGCCAAACTTGTTTATGATAGCGAATTAAAACCTTAAAAAAAAATTCTGCCCGTGAAGGGCGGTTTCCTCGCACGCCTTTAATAAGAACACTTTAGAGGCAGAGACAGGCAGATCTGAGTTCAAAACTAGGCTGTTCTACAGAGCGGTTGCCGGACAGACAGCCAAGGCTAGGAAAATCTTGCCCACTCAGACTCTGTAAGACTTTCATACTGTGTTTTTGCTTTTAGGTTTTTCATTCCCCACCCCCCCTGAAGACAGGGTCTCCTTGTGTAGATAGCTCTGGCTGTCCTGTTACTAAGTAGACCAGGCTGGCCTCCAATTCACAAGTGAATTTGCCTGTCTCTGCCTCCCAAGCTCTGAAAAACATGACCTAGGGCCTATCCAAGTGTTTTGGGTTTTTTAATACACTTTTTAAAATTATATATTTAAATTAGAAATAAGCTTGCTTCCTATTTCATTCCCAGCTCCCTCTCCTTCCCCTCCACACCCACTCCCTACCCCCAGCCCCTCCAGCCCCCCACCCAATCCCTACTCCATTCCCCAGGGATGGTAAGGCCCTCCAAGGGGATCTCTAGAGTCTGTCATTTTGTTCCGGGGAGGGCCCGGGCCCTCCCCCAAAGTGTCCAGATTGAGAAAGCATCCCTCATTGTCTATCCAAGTGTTTTAACCTTCCTTATTCAGTAAGTTTCGTTTTCACAAAGGTTCGCTGCTTTCTGTTAGCTATTTGATGGCCGGGAGCAGTAAGCCTTTCCCCTCCTCTGTTGACAGTTGCAAATGGAGTTAGGGATTGCTGTTGGGTCTGAAGGACCAAAAATTTAAATTAATTAAAGTTTAAAAACTCCACGGGCGGTGGTGGCGCACGCCTTTAACCCCAGCACTCGGGAGGCAGAGGCAGGCGGATCTCTGTGAGTTCGAGGTCGGACTGGACGGACAGCCTCCAAAACAATACAGAGAAACCCTGTCTCGTAAAACCAAAAAAAAAAAAAAATTAAAAACTCAGGCCCTGAAAAGGGAACTTCCAATGACTGGGAATGCCATGGCTGGCACCTGAGCCCTGCTCTCAGAGAAGGGGAGGTGACCCTCCACCACCTGGGTCCAAATTCCTACGTCTGCTAATTGTTAGTCTTAAGGTTGTAAAGATCCCTCAGCCCAGGGGATAAGTGACAGACCCTATGACCCTGTAACGCTGCAACCTCATGTCTCGTCTTATCTTACTCAAATGTATCTTGCTTAAAATATCTAACTACAGCTTCACTCTGTACTTTGTATGACCTTAAGTAACCATGGAAACTGAAATTTGTAGCCTTCAACCTTATGGTCTGCCCCTTTAAAAGCTTCTCTTTTGGCCTGGTTGGCATCTCCTTTCCTCCACCATGGAAAGAGGCCCAAGCTGGCCAGCTTGCACAGTAAAAGGGACCTTTTGCTTTTGCATCAGAGTGTCGACTCCTGGGTTAGTCTCTGGGCTCTGCGAACCTGGCGCAACAGGACCACCGTGTAGATGCTGGGAGCCAGACCCTAGGATTCCACAAGTGCTCTTAACACTGAGCTATTTCGGCTACAGGGCTATGTAGACAGACCTTGCTTCAGAAAAGAGAGAGAGCGAGAAGAAAAGATTAGAGCTACACAGCCACACTTGGCAGAGCTATTATCCTTTGCTTTATCTGACCTGGAAAATACTCCTTACTCTTTATGGAAGCTGGGTGGTGGTTGCCTACACCTTTAATCCAAGTGCTCTGGAGGGAGAAGCAGGTGGATCTCTGTGAATTTAGACTGCTGGTGGATAAATTGATGTTGCAGGACAGCCAGGGCTACTCAGAGAAACCCTGTTTTGGAAAAAAAAAAACACAAGAAAACAAAACAAAAGAACCACTTGGGGATTGTATCTTCTCCAGTGAGTGCCATCGATTTCCAGGGACAGACCGGGTGTAGGCCACTAACGTTGACAAAGAGAGCTGTTCTTCTTGGACACACCGCTCACTCAGTAACATATCCCAGTCCTGTGTACTCTGAGAAGTTCAAATACCTAGTTCTTTGAGTAAGAACGGGTGTTCCTGGAAGTGGGTATGACGTCTCTTCCTCTTGCAATCTCTGAGCCAGCCACAGATGGCAAGACGACCTTAAAGCAACAGGCTGAAGACAGAAAGTGTGAGAGTCCCTCAACAGCTAGCTGTGTGCTACAAAGCTCCCAGATGTCCACACAGACACAGGAATGAACAAGAAAAGGTTGTATGCCGAGTCCCTGAGTTTAGAGTTGGACATGGAAGCTAATCTTAGTGACACTTATTGTGGTGGTCTGAATGGCGGTTAGGCATTTGAATATGTTGTCTCCAGGTGGTGGCCCTGTTTAGGGATGCTTAGGAGCTGTGACACTACTCCAGCAAGCACATCACTAGGGGCAGGCTTAGAGGTCTCAAAAGCCTTACACATTCCCAGCGTGGTCTCTGCTTCCTGATTGTGGTTCAAAAGGTGAGTGTCTCTAGGTGCCATTTTGGCTGCTTGCCATCTTACTCCCCTGCCATAATGGACTCTCATCCTTTGCTAACCATAAGCCAAGGATAAACGCTCCCTTCTAGAAGTTGCTTTGGTCATGGTGTTTTATCACAGCAATAGAAAAGCAACGAATATGCTTCAAACCACAGGTGATCACTCAGATTCACTTGAGCCGCAGAGTCCGTGACAAAGAAGCTAGGTCGTAGCTCGAGCAGACAGACAGGGTCCTGAGACAGTAGCTTATGGAACGGACTCCTTCCCAGGAGGAGTGACACATGGGACAGGGCTGGAGAATCAGAAGAGCCACAGATCACAGGGTTCCACAGATCCTGAAGGGACACACTAAGATCTACCCCAGCAGGCTGGAGATAGCTCAGTCGTTAAGAACACTTGATCTTTCAAAAAATCTGAGTTCAGTTCCCAGCACTCGCATCAGGCAGCTCATGACTGCCTGTAACTGCGGTAGCAGGGGATCTGGCGCCCTCTTGTGGCCTCTGAGGGCAACTACACACCTGTGGTATACACTCAAAGACATAAAAAAGAAGCTTTCCAGAAGACACCTGGTCCAGACTTCCATGCCCTTCCACCTGGATGCTTACCAGAGCAGGAGCTTTGGGAAAGGGATTCTGCCACCATCCATGATCCCTGCAGCTCCAGTTTGGGAACAGGATACCCTTCAGGGAGAAAAAAAAAGCAGATGGAGATTTTGAAGAAACAAGAGAAAGACCTGTGAGCCCTCAGGAATTGGCCTGGATCTTGGAATGAAGCTGCTCCCAGCAACACAAAAAAAATGGTGACACATAACCCAGAAGCTACAAGTTTGCTACGCCACACTAAACAGTCCATCAGAAACTAATACTTGGCTGGCAAGATCACTCAGTAAATAAAGTAGCATTCGAGTGCATGTGTGCATGCAAAAATTAAAAGTTTTAATGGATTGGTTTTTTTTTTTACTTTTTTTCTGTTTGTTTGGGTTTGTTGTTATTTTTTTACCTACTCTTTCTCTGTGTAACAGCCCTGACTGTCCTGGAACCCACTATGTAGATGAGACTAGCCTTGAACTCACAGAGACCCACCTGCCTCTGACTCCCAAGTGCTGGGATCAAAGGCATGTGTCACCATACCAAACTTTTTTGTTGTTGTTTTTTTCGAGACAGGGTTTCTCTGTATTGTTTTGGAGGCTGCCCTGGAACTCGCTCTGTAGACCAGGCTGGTCTCGAACTCACAGAGATCCTCCTGCCTCCCGAGTGCTGGGATTAAAGGCGTGTGCCACCAAGGCCCTGCAAGCTTTTTTTTCTTTTCAAGACAGAGTCTCACTATATAGTTCTGCCGTCCTGGAACTCACTAGGTAGACCAACCTAGGCTCCAACTCACAGAGATCTTTCTGCCTCTGCCTTCCAAGTACTATGATTAAAGGTGTGCAACCACCATGCTGGGCTGTATTAATTTATTTTTTAAAGAAACTAATAACGGGGACTGGAGAGATGGCTCAGAGAATAGGAGCACTGGCTGCTCTTCCAGAGGTCCTGAGTTCAATTCCCAGCAACCACATGGTGGCTCACAACCATCTACAATTCAATCTGGTGCCCTCTTCTGGCCTGCAGGGTATATAGAGGTAAAACACTGAATATATAATAAATAAATCATATATATATATGTATATGTGTGTGTATGTATATATATATGAATGTAACTAACAGCCAGATGTTGATGGTGCACACCTTTAATCCCAGCACCTGGGAGACAGTAACAGGTGAATCTCCAAGTTCCAGTATAGCCAGAGCTACACAGAGAAACTCTGTTAAAAGAAGAAAAACAAAGATACAATATGTCATCCTGTGTAAAATGCTGTAATCGCAGCATTTTAGAAGCTGAGTAAAGCAGACAACCTCTGGGGTTAGTGGTGGCGCACCCCTTCAATCCCAGCACTCGGGAGGCAGAGGCAGGCAGATTTCTGT